ATATATATATATAAATATTTTTTTATGTATGTTACCGCATAACTTTGGACCACGTTAACCGATTTTTATAATTCTCTTTTTAAAGGAAAGGTGTTACCTCACAGGTGGTCTCATATTAATTTGGTTAAAATCCGATCACCGGATCATGACGAAATTACCAATAGTCTTAAATTTTTATATAAGAATTGAAGTTGATTTTTTTGTTTGCTTAAAAATTACTTGTTTATTTAACCAGTTTTTAATACTAAAGGGATCTTTACCCCCCATTGCATTTTCGAGCATTTTCTTGGTGTTCTGGTGGACTTAAAAAATAAGGTTACTATGAAAAAAAAAAATGAATAAATAAATAATTGGGTATTATTATTGGGAATCTTTTGAAGAGAAACAGAGTTTTCTGATATTGAATATTGATTTTCAAGAGTTTCTACGAAAAGTGGTTCCTTTTCCATATAAAATTCATGGACAACTTTGAGCGCTTTGAGCGACCTCTAAATATTTTTTGATTTCAAAATAAAAAAAATTATGATGTATTTTTTTCGGTTTAGAACAATCCTAGGGGGTGAGATTACTATGAAAAAAAAATGAATAAATAAATAATTGGGTATTATTATTGGGAATCTTTTGAAGAGAAACAGAGTTTTCTGATATTGAATATTGATTTTCAAGAGTTTCTACGAAAAGTTGTTCTTTTTCCATATAAAATTCATGGACAACTTTGAGCGCTTTGAGCGACCTCTAAATATTTTTTGATTTCAAAATAAAAAAAAATTATGATGTATTTTTTTCGGTTTAGAACAGAAAGCACAGAAATTCCGACTTTACTTATTTTGGACCACTCTAATGTACATACATATGTGCACCGTAGTTAATTTTTTTTTTACCGTTTAGTTGAGGTAAACACAAGTGTTTTGTTCAATCGAATGTCGGTAGAATCTCAAGCTTTCTGGCATGGTTATATGTAAGAACATATGTATGTACGTATACTTAAGTAGGAATACTGGAACAACAGCTCATAGAGGCACTGACATATGTAAGTTGTATTCAGAAAGTTCTCAAAATGTAGTCATATTAAAAATGCTTCATACTCAAAAGAAGACTTCGCCTAAAAATGTAGAATGCAATTATTTAAGAACATACAAAACAAGTACATATACTACTACCTACATACATACATATATATCTTAACTTACTTCCTCGGTAATCTGGATCTTAATAACTGAAGGTCGAAAACAAACTTGAAAGCAGCAAACATAACCGTTTCGACCCAGTCAGTTAATTTAGGATTTCTGAACTGCTCTACTTTTCGCAATAATTTTAGAAGATTGACAACCCCTATATGAGTCGATTCAAGTCAAATGTCCAAGGCGCGCCGAGCTGTGCAAAACAAGCTACTTTTCCATTGGCTGGGGAGCAGTCAGAAACTGGAAAAACTAAATCGATTATGACTAAGATTTATATAGATTTTTTTACGGGCGCTCTAAAATGCTTTCTTTTTATTAATGATTTCTATGCAAAAAGACCTGATCTTTCGATTGATATGGTTTCGAAAAATTTGGGGAACGCATAGCACCATCAGATAGCCCATACAAAACTCGATAGAAATCAAAGTTTTTGATTTTTTTTTCGATTTTCTGTATGCTTCCAAGCCAGTCGAAATAGCTCGACCCATATAGGGTTTGTCATTCTGCTAAAAATATTGCGAAAAGTAGAGCAGTTCAGAAATCCTTAATTAACTGACTGGACTAAATTCAGAGAAATCTTTGAAGATAAAATTGGGATGCCCAGGTGACTACGAAATAGAAAAAACCAGTAACCACCTAACAATCACCCTAGTAAATGCTTTTAAAGCTTCGTGGCCACTGATAAGAACCAAGGGTAAAACCAGCCCACTTAGATGGAATCCCGGGTTGGGAACCCCCAAACGGAAATTCAGATAAATATTTAAGTTAGCGTTGGGAGAAGTACAAACACGTACTCAAAAAGAACTAAGAAAGGTATAGAAATTTCATCCGAAACTGCAAGGCTAAGAAAAGCTCTATTTACTTAAATGTAATAACCCACAGGGAACTAAGTATTAGGGCACAGGATGGCACGTGAACCCAAAATAGCGAAGAATCGCTCGAGATTTTACTTAACGCCCACCTCCCGGCAATACTCCCTTAGTCGGAACAGACAGAAATGGAAACCGAAGGACCAGATCTTACTATGGAAGGTTTAGTAACTCTGGGAGAAATGGAATGGGTGCTACATACCTTCTCGAAATTCAAATCTCTGTACACTGATGCACAAAATTTTAGAATACCTATGTATGCTATTTGTAGGCTGCATATAGCAAAATTATATACATGCCATACATTACAGTATGCATGTAAGATATTGGGTTACACTTGGGAACTTTGTCCTACTCTTCGACACTGAATATTCACGGCAATAGTTAAACCAGCATTTATATGGTGGTCAGGAACGAAAAAGAAGACTTACCTTAAAAAACTGCGGAGTGTTTACAAGCTCTCAATGAGCAGTATAACGGGTTACCTTAAGGGAAGCATCGATAGCGGCGCTCCACACAATCTTCCACATGCCACCAATGGACTTGGTAGCCAAGAAGATAGCGTTTACGACTGGAATCAGGGCGTAGGATCACAGTGGCATAGCGTCATCCTTAACCGGTCGAATAGACTACGTGATCCTGCGTCCGAGTTTCGAAAGGTCTCTAGAACGAAAGGGAACGAAACGCACATCTACACAGACAATTCTAAAATGGGCGAAGGGGCTGCAGTATACTGCACCGAATCGCTAATTCTAAGGTCATTTAAGCTACCAGATCATTGTATAACTATCAAGTCGAGGTCATTGAAATAAAATAAGCGGCAGAGATACTAGCAAAAATTAACCCGCCCAGCGAGCAAGTAAACATTTACACAGATAGTAAGGCGGCAATTAAGTCTATTTCTTCATAAAAACAAATTCAATCACCTTCGCGGGCTCTAAGGAGGCTATAAGATGGCTAAAACCGCCCATATATATTGGCTTCCGGAACACAAGGGTGTGGAGCTGACGAGCTAGCCAAGGAGGGCTTACTCTTAGACGCTTCACTAGTGACGAATACACGAATTCCTCTTCGGCAAATCACAAGATCTACTCATGTGCCGCCAAGGGGAGAAGCTTTGAAAAAGAACTCAGGGTTGCAGCCAGGCAAAGATTATGTGGTTTGTAGTTCATACGATAGGAAACTTGCCGATTTCCTGCTATCCACAAGAAGAACAGAATCAAGGTTTATGTTCTTTAACATTGCGTGAAAGCAGTGGTTCATAGGTCGTAATCGGATCTGGCAATGTTATGGACGTTATATTCGTCTATGTGAGCATCTAAAGGTCAGCCAGCAGAACCTAACCTAACCTACTGTGGAAAATCGTTTTTTTCTATGAAATGTCCCTTTTCTCATTGTATAATTTGTTTGCCCTGAAATAGAGAAATTACCCACAATCTGCTATCGATTAGGCGCCGCGAAGTAAGCGGGTATTTGCTTTAATCGCACATTTTTGGAGAAAAATTGGTACCACCGGAAAAGGGGGCGTGGCACCTCCCATACAAACCAAATTTTTCATACTGCATATTTTTGGAAGAATTCATGATAGAATATTAGAACTTGGTACGGAGGTCTCATAGAGAAAAATTGAGTTTATTTGAAAGGAAACCGAATTTTTCATACTGCATATTTTTGGAAGTATTCATGGTGCAGTACTGGGACTTTGTATGGACATATGTATGTATGTATATGAAATCAAGCCCATACCCACGAAGAAAAATGGGGCTATTTGAAAAGGCCTACAAACGTACCGACTTTAGCTATCTTTGAATGTATTTATAATTGTTCTGTAGGTGTGTTTGTGAGTGAAGTCCTCCTAAATAGGTGTCCGGATTTTAACTGGATTTTTTGTGTGTCTTTGCGTGGGTCTCTGGATGGTTTAGTTTCACAATTTAACCCGCCAGTTGGCACTGTAGTTGAGTTAGTACTAAAAATCGTATTTATTCTATTTAGCTAATATCTCTAAATATGTATTAATAACGGTAAGAGCAATACTATTACAGAAAGTGCTGCCAGGTGGCGTTGGAGTCGAGTTTTTACTAAAAATCGCCAAGTGAGGAAAGGTTCCCTGAATGTCAGATTAAATCGACCTGTTGCACCATTGAGTATATCGAGCTCTCCTGTGTTAAGATTGGCCCAACGGATGTGATTTTCCAATATTATTATGCGTTTAAGCTTTTAAGGTATTTCGTAACAACAGTTAAATGCTGAATTGGAACTTAAGTTACGCGAATCGGGCATTCCGATTATGTAATTATAGTTAAGAAATAAAACATACTATTTTTTGCATTCATGCATTTCCGAACAGAGGGAACGTTGGACTGTTTCGGAACCAGCCATAGACAGGAAGGAGCTTTATTTTGAAAACGCCGCCAATGCGATTCGAAAGGCAACAGGGAATAATACAAATTCATAATGCGTATTATTCAAATCCGAATGATTTGCTTTTCGAATCACTACACAATGAGTAGACCACCTGAATGGAATTAAATAGTACGTTTGA